AGTTCTGTGGCCCTCCGCCCAGATTGCTGGAGCATGGACCAGGGACTGGATCACTGTCCACCCAGGTCTGACACCTGGCCTTTGCAGAGTGGCGGGTATGATCTCAACCTGTCGCCAGCCCTCTGACAGCGCTTTGTGTGCTCCGTCTGCCATGGGGTTCTCAAGAGGCCAGCAAGGTTGCCATGCAGCCACATCTTCTGCAAAAAGTGCATTCTCCAGTGGCTAGCCAGGTGCCACCGGGTACCCAAGGGGCGGGGAGGGTAGGAGTGAGACTGGGGGCCATTGCTGTGGCCCAGAACAGAGGGAAAGTCAGCCAAAGACTCAGCCACGAGAAATCTCCTAAACTAAAATGTGCCTTATCCTCACTCAAGTGGCATCTGAGACCCCGGCCCCAGCCTACGGAGCTGAGGCGCCGTGTAATATGCCCTGATGCCTCCTCCAGCTGATGAAGGGACCACCTGGGTCACAGAGTGAGAGCTTGACCAGGGCTCCCTTCCCACTCCCAACACTCACCCCTGCTCATGCCTCCTTCCAGACAAAAGACCTGTCCCTGCTGTAGGAAAGAGGTGAAAAGGAAAAAGATCATCTGCGTGAATAAACTCCGGAAAACCATTGGCCGCCTGGAAGTCAAGGTAGCTCAGAGGACCCACTCCCCAGCCCGTCGACCCTTCTCACCCTTGGGAGTGGGGCAGGGCCAGGAGAGGGCAGGGAGAATGCTTATCTTCAGAGGGAGGCAAGTGCAGCCTTGGAGGACCAGGCGTGGCTGAGTTTGAATCGCGGCTTTACTGCTTACTTGCTGTGTGACTTTAAGCAAGTCACCTAATTCCGAGCCCGGGGTCTCAGCTGTAAAATGGAGATTATAGAGGACTTACAGAGGATTTTCAGAGTATCTAGTGCTTGGTGTGCTGGCCACTACTCTCCAGCCCCTAGTTTACAGATGGGTAAACTGAGGTTAAAAAGGAAAGCTAGCATCCATACCACTCACCAGACCAACCCAACTGTGTACCTTCCAGTTCCCCCCAAGACTCAGGCCTCACCCTCCCCTGGAGTTCTGGCTTCTTCCCACTTCCAAGCATTTGCCCCAATGTTCTCTCCACCCCACTTGCAAGTCAGAAAAGTGTGGGAGGCTCCCGGTTCCCTGGTTCCCGGTGAATGGAAAGCCAGGGGTGGGGCGTTCTGGGGTGTCCGCCTGGAGGATTTCTTCACCGCGACTGATTCCTCCCTTCACTCTCAGTGCAAACGCCAATGCTGGCTGCATAGTGGCGTGCCTGGCCCTTCGCAAGGGCACCGGGACTCATGCCTTTGAGCTAATGGCCTGCCCCAACGAGGGGCTGCACCTCGCGTGCAGCGTGGGGCCTGGCAGAGCACCGGCAGCACTGCCCAGCAAGGATCCCAGCAGCGCTGCCCCCTAGGCTGCGCGGGGCCACCTGGACCCGGCCCAGCGCTCGCCACAACTGCTACCGGGAGCTGCATAATGCCTGGAGCGCGCGCCAGGCGATGATCGGACCCTGCTGCTGTGCCTTCTGCGGCGGGTGCGCTGGCTACTGAGGCTGCAGCGGCCAGTCGCCCGAGCTGGCCCGGAGCTCAGCAGCTTCTTGGAGGAAGACACCGCTCTGCTGGAGGGCACCTCACAGGAGTCCAAGGTGCCCAGAGGCAGCTGGGCTGAGGTGAGTGGGGAGCCCAGGGCCAACGTAACCTATAAATAGGTCAATAAAAGCGGAGCCCAGGCCTGCCTGCCTCTGTGCCTGCGGCCCTCACAACTGTCACCGGTGCATCCCTGCCGCCCTCTCCAGGCATTTGCCTGCTCTCTTTCATCTTTTCTTTTCTTTCTTTTTTTTTTTTTTTTTTTGAGACAGAGTCTCGGTCTGTAGCCTAGGCTGGAGTGCAGTGGCGCGATCACCAGCTCACTGCAGCTCCACCTCCCGGGGTCCCGCCATTCTCCTGCCTCAGCCTCCCGAGTAGCTGGGACTACAGGCGCCTGCCACCTCGCCCGGCTAGTTTTTTGTATTTTTAGTAGAGATGGGGTTTCACCTTGTTAGCCAGGATGGTCTTGATCTCTCCTGACCTGGCGTGATCCGCCCGTCTCGGCCTCCCAAAGTGCTGGGATTACAGGCATGAGCCACCGCGCCCGACCTCTTTTTTCTTTTTTTTGAGACGGAGCCTCACACTGTAGCCCAGGCTAGAGTGCAGTGGCACAATCTCAGCTCACTGCAGCCTCTGCCCCCTGGGTTCAATCGATTCTCCTGCCTCAGCCTCCCAAGTAGTTGGGGATTACGGGCATGTGCCACCATGCCCATAATTTTATTTTTAGTAGCAACGGGGTTTCTCCACGTTGGTCATGTAGTCTCAAACTTCCGACCTCAGGTGATCCACCAACTCGGCCTCCCAAAGTGCTGGGATTACAGGCGTGAGTCACCGCGCCACCAGCCCTCCCTTCTATTTTTTCCACCACACTCAGCAACTATCACTCCTCGCCCGTTCTGTTTCTTCTAGTGTCCACCAAATGCAGTGCAGTGCTTTTGCACACAGAAGGTGCTCAATACATGAATGCCTTTGAGATTACCAGGTTTATTCATTTTACCTATGTTTTTTTTTTTTTTTTTTGAGATGGAGTCTTGCTCTGTAGCCCGGACTGGAGTGCAGTGGCCGGATCTCAGCTCACTGCAACTCCGCCTCCTGGGTTCTGCCCATTCCTGCCTCAGCCTCCGGAGTAGCTGGGACTACAGGCGCCTGCCACCTCGCCCAGCTAGTTTTTTGTATTTTTAGTAGAGACGGGGTTTCACCGTGTTAGCCAGGATGGTCTCGATCTCCTGACCTCGTGATCCGCCCGTCTCGGCCTCCCAAAGTGCTGGGATTACAGCCACCGCGCCCGGCCTCATTTACCTATGTTATTTATCAAGAGCCACACTGCAAGCCCAGAGGCAGGGTCAGCTTGGAGCTGGTGCCCCAAATCCCAGAGCGCCGAAAGAACGAAGTAAACGCTGGCTACGAATGCCATTTTATTTATTTTTTTCGGCGGAGTCTCGCTCTGCCGCCCAGGCTGGAGTGCAGTGGCGCGATCTAGGCTCACTGCAAGCTCCGCCTCCCAGGTTCAGCCATTCTCCTGCCTCAGCCTCCCGAGTAGCTGGGACTACAGGCGCCGCCACCACGCCAGCTAATTTTTTGTATTTTTAGTAGAGACAGGGTTTCACCATGTTAGCCAGGACGGTCTCGATTTCCTGACCTCGTGATCCACCACTCGGCCTCCCAAAGTGCTGGGATTACGAGCGTGAGGCACTACGCCCGGCCACGAATGCCTTTTTATACTGTTATCAAACAGCCAGGCCACCAGCGACGCCACCGTGCCAAAAAAAAAAAAAAAAAAAAAAAAAGAAAGAAAAACTTACTACCATTATGCTATTCAAGAACCAAAGTCATCGGCGGGGTGGTGGCTCACACCTGTAATCCCAGCACTTTGGGAAGCTGAAGTGGGCGGACCACAAGGTCAGGACTTCAAGACCAGCCTGGCCCACATGGTGAAACCCCGTCTCTATTAAACATACAAAAAATTAGCCGGGCGTGGTGGCGGGCGCCTGTAAACCCAGCTATTCGGGAGGCTGAGGCAGGAGAATCGCTTGAACCTGGGAGGTGGAAGTTGCAGTGAGCCGAGATCACACCAGCCTGGGTGACAGGCTGAGACTCTGCCTCGCCAAAAAAAAAAAATAGTCATGAACCCCCTCACCTGGCATCCCCCATCTGTCCCCTTCGTTTCAGCAGTTTTAATAGAAGCTTGTAAGATTAGCGTGTTTCAGCATCTCAATTGTTTCTTCCTATTTGCCCTTTTCCTCTTGTTTGGTGAGATGTGGCTTTCCACTCAGGTTTCCTTTTGCTTTGTTCAGCTTTGGCCTAGCCATGAACACCCTACCTTGCTAGGGCGAACGCTCACACGACAAACGTGCCATTAGCCTTTCCCCACCGCACCCGCTGGACGCGGAAGACAGCTGGCCCGTACACGCGGAATATGAGTTTGCTAACCCTTACGGTGTCCTCCCACAACCTGAACTTCATCGTCCTCTCGGATGGCATGAACCGAGCGCTGCTTCTGTCTCAGCTCTTTGGAAACGAATTCGCTGCGAACGTGGGAAGATGCGCTGAAATGCCTTTTGCGGGTCTCGCTTCGCTCAGGTATATCCATCCAACCTCTCTTAAGTGGAATCCTCTCCTCAGCCAGCCCGCAACACAACCTCAACCACTCAAACGAGACGCTGGGCCCTTCAAGGCTGGTCAGTGGCAGATGCCAACCATCCAACCCCAGCCCAAAGGACTCCGGGGTCGCACTCGTTCAACGCCCCAGCGACCGACGCGTACCTTAATGGGCAGAGAGAAGAGGTAGATCTCCTCCAGGGACTTGATCTTCATGTCCTTGACCAAGCGGCCCAGCTTGGTGACGGGCATCCACTAGAGGGAGAAAAGGCGCGAGTGACCAGGGCCGCTCTCCGCCGCCGCCTACGGGCCCGATCCCGCGCGTAGATGAAACCTACCTCTTTATCCTCGGCCTTGCCTCCGCGAGCTCCGCGGCCTCGGCCCCGGCCCCGTCCACGGCCGCGACCCCGACCCCGGATGCCACTGCCGAAACCTCCGCGGAAGCCACCGCGGTTCCCCATCCCAGGGCCACCAGGGCCTCCGGGCCCCCCCGCTGCACCGGCGTCATCCGCCATTTGCTGGAGAAAACGACAAGAACCAAGCAGTCAGTGCGGCCTAGGCATCTGGCAGCCCCCCGCAAGACCCCGACGGGGGCTCCCGCCCAGGAGCGCGGACTCGGGAGCCTAGACCCGTTTCGATGTCCGCGGATTCCCGCCGCCCACGCCGACACCCGCAGCAGCAAAACCGACCACTCACGTGTTCTCTCGGAGAAGAAGAGAGAGGCCTGCTGGGAAGCAGCTTTTATACCACACCAAGCGCCGCGAGACCTCCGCGGCCCCGCCCCGGGCGGGAGCGCACCGAGCTCCCATAAGACAACCTGTGATTGGCTCCGCGGTGCCCCGCCCTCACTGGGCTCGGCGTGCTCCTGCGCGTCCGGCCCCAGCGGCGGCCTGGGAATCTACGTCACCCGAAAAGTGGCTATAAACGCCCGTGCATGGGTTGCACTTCTTTCTTCACTCAGGTAGGTCCTGCCGCGTTGACCACCGGTATCCTGCTGGTGGTCTTGGAGACCGGCGTTGGTTGAAAATCACCCCCGGCTTTGGCCGTGGCCGCGGGTGAGATTCGACGCCCAGAGCCTCCGGGGCCTCAGCTCACCGCGCGCTGCTCCATGTGCGGCGGTGAAACCCAGGCCCCGACAGGCGCCGCGGCCTCCCCCGAGGTGTGGCCGCTCCCGTGGTCTGGCCCCTGACTCCTGACCCCGGCTGCCGACCCCCTAACCCTGTTTTCTCTCCGCAGGACACTAGTCCTCCCACGTCTGAGACCGACGTCGCCAGGACCGCGGGGTCGGGGGGACTCGGCTGTCCCCCGTCTTTCAAATAAAGCTGTTTGGCTAACTCACTGCGTGCGGGTGTTCTTGGGGTTCCGACCCGCCTATCAGCCTGGCAAGTGCGTCTGTTCACGCTCTGGCGGGGAGAACCCTAGCGAGATACCTCCTCGTCTTTCCTGGCCATCCCAACGCCGCGTTGGACACAAGGATAGGATGTGGGAGGTTGGCAGGTGACATGTAAAGTCCGACGCTTCTTAAGTGGCAGAGCCAGATTGGGAACAGTCTTGTGGCCATGCGCGCCTCAGGTAAAGTGCCTTGGCCTAAAGGGCGCCAGGTGGGGCCAGCAGAGCGCTCTCAAGGATGGGAAGTTCAGAGGCTTCCAGTGACTTCCTTGTGAGACCAGGTGAGATTCTAAGGGATTTGACCAACTAGGCCTAGATGAACTCAGCGCCGCAGTGGTGCTAGGCTGGAGTGGATCAGACACCTGGTTTGGGAGGCTGGGCCCCTGCTCTGGGCAGCAGGTTCTCCAGGAGTTTAGTTCTCACTGCCTTGGAGCTAGCCCCTGAGTATTGGATCCTAAGTGAAGACCACTAGTGGGTCAATGCCTAAAGCCCCCATACCCTAGGAGCTGCAGCCCTCTGGAGAGAAGAGGGCGGCAATCCCTGTGATCCCACTGAAGCCCTGGCCCGGGGGAAACAGCTCCATGAAGCTTGGTTCATCTCAGCTCACTACAACTTCTGCCTCTGGATTTCAAGCAGTAATGCCTCAGCCTCCCAAGCAGCTAGGACTACAAGCACCTGCCACCATGCTCAGCTAATTTGTTTGTATTTTTAGTAGCGATGGATTTTCACCATGGTGACCAGGCTGGTTCGAACTCCTGACCTCAAGTGATCTGCCTGTCTCGGCCTCCCAAAGTGTTAGGCTTACAGGCATGAGCCACTGCACCCAGCCCTGTGACTTTTTAAAGAGGTGGGGTCTCACTGAGTTGCCCAGGCTGGTCTCCTGGGCTCAAGTGATCCTCCTGCCTTGGCCTCCCAAACTGCTGGGATTACAGGTGTGAGCCACCGCGCCCGGTTACCTGTGATCCTCTACAGAAGGGAACAAGGGTTGGGCTGTACAGGGTCTCTGGGCCCTGAACCAGGGTTGTGATTGGCTTGAGCTGGACAATGCTATTGTGATGTCAGCCCACACCCACTGTGAAATGCAGGCTCCTGAGCTCTGGGGGCCTGTGGAGCTGCTGTCTAGACACAGATCATGGTGAGCCTGGGGTCCTCTTGCCTCCAGCCCTTAGATGTGTGCCCCATTCCAGAAACCTGCCGAGTTGTTCAGGGATCCACCCCACTGCACTTGGAAAGGGTGGGCAATGGGTCGCAGGCCCCCATATGGTACAATGAAACCTGGAAGGCTCTGGCTAGGTCTGATTCCAGGCTAAGGCACCCCGTCTCCAACCAGGGATTAGTAGTCCTGGGGTGGGGGGCCCTAACCCCTACAGCTGCCCCCTCAAAGTGGGTGCTGAGCCAGCCCCTCTACTTGAAGTTCTGTGGCCCACCTCCCCGCCCAAAGTTGCTGGGTATGTGGACCAGGGACTGGATCACTGTCCCACCCAGGTCCTGACACCTGGCCTTTGCAGAGTGGCGGGTATGATCTCAACCTCTTCGCCAGCCCTCCTGACAGCAACTTTGTGTGCTCCGTCTGCCATGGGGTTCTCAAGAGGCCAGCAAGGTTGCCATGCAGCCACATCTTCTGCAAAAAGTGCATTCTCCAGTGGCTAGCCAGGTGCCACCGGGTACCCAAGGGGCGGGGAGGGTAGGAGTGAGACTGGGGGCCATTGCTGTGGCCCAGAACAGAAGGGAAAGTCAGCCAAAAGACTCAGCCACGAAATCTCCCTAAACTAAAATGTGTATATCCTCACTCAGTGGCATCTGCAGACCCCGGCCCCAGCCTCGGAGCTGAGAGCGCCGTGTAATATGCCCTGATGCCTCCTCCAGCTGATGAAGGGACCACCTGGGTCACAGAGTGAGAGCTTGACCAGGGCTCCCTTCCCACTCCCAACACTCACCCCTGCTCATGCCTCCTTCCAGACAAAAGACCTGTCCCTGCTGTAGGAAAGAGGTGAAAAGGAAAAAGATCATCTGCGTGAATAAACTCCGGAAAACCATTGGCCGCCTGGAAGTCAAGGTAGCTCAGAGGACCCACTCCCCCGACCGTCGACCCTTCTCACCCTTGTAGGAGTGGGGCAGGGCCAGGAGAGGGGGCAGGAGAATCTTATCTTCAGAGAGACAAGTGCAGCCTTGGGAGGACCAGACGTGGCTGAGTTTGAATCGCGGCTTTACTGCTTACTTGCTGTGTGACTTTAAGCAAGTCACCTAACTTTTCCGAGCCCCGGGGTCTCAGCTGTAAAATGGAGATTATAGAGGACTTACAGAGGATTTTCAGAGTATCTAGTGCTTGGTGTGCTGGCCACTACTCTCCAGCCCCCTAGTTTCACAGATGGGTAAACTGAGGTTAAAAAGGAAAGCCTGGCATCCATACCACTCACCAGACCAACCCAACTGTGTACCTTCCAGTTCCCCAAGACTCAGGCCTCACCCCCTCCCCTGGAACTTCTAGCTTCTTCCCACTTCCAAGCATTTGCCCCAATGTTCTCTCCACCCACTTACCCAAGTCAGAAAAGTGTGGGAGGCTCCCGGTTCCCTGGTTCCCGGTGAATGGAAAGCCAGGGGTGGGGCGTTCTGGGGGTGTCCCGCCTGATTTCTTCACACGTGTTCTCCTTCACTCTCAGTGCAAGAACGCCAATGCTGGCTGCATAGTGACGTGCCCCCTGGCCCATCGCAAGGGGCACCAGGACTCATGCCCCTTTGAGCTAATGGCCTGCCCCAACGAGGGCTGCACCTCGCGCGTGCCGCGTGGGGCCCTGGCAGAGCACCGGCAGCACTGCCAGCAAGGATCCCAGCAGCGCTGCCCCCTAGGCTGCGGGGCCACCCTGGACCCGGCCAAGCGCGCTCGCCACAACTGCTACCGGGAGCTGCATAATGCCTGGAGCGCGCGCCAGGAGCGCAGTCGGACCCTGCTGCTGTGCCTTCTGCGGCGGGTGCGCTGGCTGCACCGAGCTACCAGCGTCGTTCGCCGAGAGCTGGCGGAGCTCAGCAACTTCTTGGAGGAAGACACCGCTCTGCTGGAGGGCACCTCACAGGAGTCCAAGGTCACCCCAGAAGGCAACGCTGGGGCTGAGGTGGTGGGGGAGCCCAGGGCCAACGTAACCTATAAATAGGTCAATAAAAGCGGAGCCCAGGCCTGCCTGCCTCTGTGCCTGCGGCCCTCACAACTGTCACCGGTGCATCCCTGCCGCCCTCTCCAGGCATTTGCCTGCTCTCTTTCATCTTTTCTTTTCTTTCTTTTTTTTTTTTTTTTTGAGACAGAGTCTCGGTCTGTAGCCTAGGCTGGAGTGCAGTGGCGCGATCTCAGCTCACTGCAAGCTCCACCTCCGGTCTACGCCATTCTCCTGCCTCAGCCTCCCGAGTAGCTGGGACTACAGGCGCCTGCCACCTCGCCCGGCTAGTTTTTTGTATTTTTTTAGTAGAGATGGGGTTTCACCTTGTTAGCCAGGATGGTCTTGATCTCCTGACCTCGTGATCCGCCCGTCTCGGCCTCCCAAAGTGCTGGGATTACAGGCTTGAGCCACCGCGCCCGACCTCTTTTTTCTTTTTTTTGAGACGGAGCCTCACACTGTAGCCCAGGCTAGAGTGCAGTGGCACAATCTCAGCTCACTGCAGCCTCTGCCCCCTGGGTTCAATCGATTCTCCTGCCTCAGCCTCCCAAGTAGTTGGGGATTACGGGCATGTGCCACCATGCCCAACTAATTTTTTTTTATTTTTAGTAGCAACGGGGTTTCTCCACGTTGGTCATGCTGGTCTCAAACTTCCGACCTCAGGTGATCCACCAACTCGGCCTCCCAAAGTGCTGGGATTACAGGCGTGAGTCACCGCGCCTGGCCCTCCCTTCTATTTTTTCCACCACACTCAGCAACTATCACTCCTCGCCCGTTCTGTTTCTTCTCTGGTGTCCACCAAATGCCGATTACAGTGCTTTGCACACAGAAGGTGCTCAATACATGAATGCCTTTGAGATTACCAGGTTTATTCATTTACCTATGTTTTTTTTTTTTTTTTTGAGATGGAGTCTTGCTCTGTAGCCCGGACTGGAGTGCAGTGGCCGGATCTCAGCTCACTGCAAGCTCCGCCTCCTGGGTTCTCGCCATTCTCCTGCCTCAGCCTCCGGAGTAGCTGGGACTACAGGCGCCTGCCACCTCGCCCGGCTAGTTTTTTGTATTTTTAGTAGAGACGGGGTTTCACCGTGTTAGCCAGGATGGTCTCGATCTCCTGACCTCGTGATCCGCCCGTCTCGGCCTCCCAAAGTGCTGGGATTACAGGCTTGAGCCACCGCGCCCGGCCTCATTTACCTATGTTATTTATCAAGAGCCACACTGCAAGCCCAGAGGCAGGGTCAGCTTGGAGCTGGTGCCCCCAAATCCCAGAACGCCGAAAAGCAGAAGTAAACGCTGGCTACGAATGCCATTTTATTTATTTTTTTTTGCGACGGAGTCTCGCTCTGCCGCCCAGGCTGGAGTGCAGTGGCGCGATCTAGGCTCACTGCAAGCTCCGCCCCCCGGGTTCAGCCATTCTCCTGCCTCAGCCTCCCGGGTAGCTGGGACTACAGGCGCCCGCCACCACGCCCGGCTAATTTTTTGTATTTTTAGTAGAGACAGGGTTTCACCATGTTAGCCAGGACGGTCTCGATTTCCTGACCTCGTGATCCACCCGCCTCGGCCTCCCAAAGTGCTGGGATTACAGGCGTGAGCCACCACGCCCGGCCACGAATGCCTTTTTATACTGTTATCAAACAGCCAGGCCACCAGCGACGCCACCCGTGCCGGTCTACCCTCAACGGACCGCGTAGCACTCTCAGGACTCATGGTCCTCCCTCCAGGCCGGAAACGTCTCCGCCCGCTTCGCTTCCCGATGCAGCAGCCACTGCCCGAAGCAAAGATGGCGCCAAGCGCGCCGCGCCGGTGGGGACGTCACAGTGGTCGCGCGCGGTGACGCCATCGCAGCGCGCCGGGAGTGTAGAGTTTTGTGAGGAGTTCGGTCCAACCTCTGTCACGCGGCGGCGGCTGCCGGGGCCCTAGCCGGTTTCAGCTGGAGCGGCGGCGGCGGCAACATGGCAGAGACCGCGGCCGGAGTGGGCCGCTTCAAGGCCAAGTGAGCCCGGAGCGCTGGGGCCGCGCGGGGAGGGAGCTGGGTTCGCAGCCGGCCTAGCGGAGGTGCGCGGGGAGCGGGCACGCATTCTGGTCCGTGGAGGCGACAGGCTATGTGTGCGCCGGCTCGCGGGGTCGCGGAGGCTGCGGTGATACCAGGCGGGAGAGCCGGCCCCGACTGCTCTCGGGGAGGACGGCGATCGAAGCCTGGCCGCCGGGAGCAGCAGCGTAGGTTCATCAAGAAGCCGGCTGTGGGTGGAGTGGAGACCAGAAGTCCCGATGAGGGGAGGAGAGGGCTGAGCTTAGGTCGGGGCTGGTCCCGGGAGGCGGCGGGAGGCGGCGGGAGGCGAAGAACCACCTCTGAGCAGTGGGCCTGGGGACGTTTTACCCGCGATCTCTCTTCTCCAGGGAGCAGGTAGACAGCGGGAGAGGGGCGGGTCTGCAGAAGCCCAGGAGGCCCTGAGTTCTGTGCCCCGTCACTCCCCAAGCCTTTGTCGAACAGCAGTACTGGTGCCCCTGCCCTGGCAGCGCAGCCTCGGGATTAGCGTTTCCACGGGCAGCTATGGGGCTTTGGTTGTGCCAAGCACTGGTAAAGGAAGGTCCCTGGCTGGCAGCACCGCCATGGGAGGGTCAACTGGGTGCAGGGGCTCAGGGGCTGCTTTCATTTTGGCAGTCAGGCTTCCAGAAGCGCAGTGAGCCAGACCTTGACATCTGGGAAGAGAAGCCCAGGCTGCATACAAGGAACAGGGGGAAGATAGGAAACCCTTCCCAGAGGCTGGGACAGGAGCAATGGGGTGCACTGTGGGCCATGAGAGGGAAGGAAAGCAGAGGCAAGGGTGGCAGAAGCTCTTCTGGGCAAGGTCTGGGAGGTGTGTGGGCAGAAGGGAGGGGTTGGTGCAGGGCAGTGACATCTTCAGTTATGTTCTGAAAGGTACCTGGCAGCAGGGTTAAGAGGTAGGTAGGGGAGGCCGGGAGCAGTGGCTCACGCCTGTAATCCCAGCAATTTGGCTCACACTTGTAATCCCAGCAATTTGGGAGGCCAAAGTGGTTGGATCATGAGGTCAGGAGATGAAGACCATGGTGAAACCCCCATCTCTACTAAAAAATACAAAAAACTAGCCGGGCGCGGTGGCACGTGCCTATAGTCCCAGTTACTTGGGAGGCTGAGGCAGAATGGTGTGAACCCGGGAGGTGGAGCTTGCAGTGAGCTGAGATCGCGCCACTGTACTCCAGTCTGGGTGACAGATGGAGACTCCGTCTTGAAAAAAAAAAAAGAAAGAAAAAAAAGAAGAGGTAGGTAGGGGGCCCAGTGAAGAGGCCAGAGTGGCTGACCAGAGGCTGCGATGGCCTGGACCAGGTGGAGGCAATGGAGAGGGAAGGAGGAGGGGCAGGAGTGAGGTCACAGAAATGACAGCTGCTCGTGAGACCTGGGCTCTGGGCAAGCCTGGGGATGAAGGGAGGAGCCAGCGAGGGGAAGAGGTATGCCAGACCTCAGGGATGAAGACACTGGGAGGATGTGCTCTGGGCTGGCTACCCAGGCCTGGCCACCCACCGCTGGCAGGGGTGTCCCCAAGGACCCCCCTGGCTCTCACTGGGAAATCCCTGAGAACCCTGGGCTGTTGGGCTGACTCTGCCTGACACAGGCCCACCCCCTGCTGCCTCAGGGATCACCAGCCCAGGTCTCCACTTCTCAGTGACGGGGGTAGCAACAGCCCCCTGCAGTACTGCTGGTTCCACCCCATGCCACCTCTGCTGTTGCCCAGAAACTCAAGGGCAGGGGGCATTGGGGTCACCTCGAGAGGAGCACCCAACACAGGGCTGGGCCCTGGGGACTGAAGGGGTGGGTGGTGCTCACTCGCCCCCTGCTCTCCTTCCAGCTATGCTGTGGAGCGCAAAATTGAACCTTTCTACAAGGGCGGAAAAGCACAGGTACCAGCCTGGGGGAGGGCAGGGGGGCGGGCAGCCAGAGACCGTGGGGGGTGCCGAATGTTGCCTGGCTGAGACCCCTCTGTCCCCAGCTGGACCAGACTGGCCAGCACCTCTTCTGCATCTGTGGCACCAGAGTCAACATTCTGGAGGTGGCCTCGGGGGTCGTGCTGCGGAGTCTGGAGCAGGTGAGGGTAGCCTGGGTGGGTGAGGGGTAAGCGGAGGGTCAGCCCACTCACACCATGCTCTGCACACCACTCTCCCCTAGGAGGACCAGGAGGCCATCACTGCCTTTGACCTCAGCCCTGACGATGAGGTACGCGGGGCGGGGCCTGGAGGGGACCTGCTCCAGCGCCTCCTCCCAGACTGAGTCCAGGAAGCTGTGAGCAGAGTGTTGCTACCCCTCTGCTGACCTGTATCCTCCCCCAGGTGCTGGTGACAGCCAGCCGGGCATTGCTGCTGGCTCAGTGGGCCTGGCGAGAGGGCAGCGTTACCCGCCTGTGGAAGGCAATACACACAGCCCCCGTGGCCACCATGGCCTTCGACCCCACCTCCACGCTGCTAGCCACAGGTAGGGCCCTGCAGCACAGGTGGGTATCGGGCACAGATGCAGGGGCTTTGGGCATTCCACTCCCTCACCTTGCTTCCCTGCAGGTGGCTGTGACGGGGCCGTGCGCGTCTGGGACATCGTGCGGCACTATGGGACACACCACTTCCGAGCCTCGCCCGGTGTCGTGCAGTGAGTTGGGGGGTGGAGGGGGAGAGCAGAGGCACTGCCCAGGCTGCACAGCTCACCTATCCTGTCCCATCCGCCCACAGCCTAGTGGCCTTCCACCCGGACCCTACACGCCTGCTGCTCTTCTCCTCAGCCGCGGATGCCGCCATCCGCGTGTGGTCACTGCAGGACCGGTCGTGCCTGGCTGTGCTGACTGCCCACTACAGCGCTGTCACCTCACTGGCCTTCAGCGCCGACGGCCACACCATGCTCAGGTCAGCAGTGGGCCCTGGTACGAGGGGGAGGCTTGGAAAGTGGGGGCCGAGGCTAAGACTTGACCTGAGGTTGCTGTTGCTGCCCCAGCTCCGGCCGTGACAAGATCTGTGTCATCTGGGACCTTCAGAGCTGCCAGGCCACAAAGACCGTGCCTGTGTTTGAGGTGGGGATGCCTGGAGGCCAGGGCTGGTTGAGTTGGGTGGGGAGGGGGCATGACAGCAGCCTGTGACCCAGTTCGTCTCCAGAGCGTGGAGGCCACTGTGCTATTGCCAGAAGAGCCAGTGTCCCAGCTGGGTGTGAAGTCCTCAGGCCTGTACTTTCTGACAGCTGGTGACCAAGGTGTGTTGGGCCGGGATATGGGCAGCGGTATGGGGCTGGGGAAGGCCTGTGGACCTGAGTCTCAGCAGCCCTGTCCCCACCCGCACAGGCACTCTGCGCGTGTGGGAGGCAGCTTCCGGGCAGTGTGTGTACACGCAGGCCCAGCCACCGGGCCCCGGGCGGGAGCTGACTCACTGCACCCTGGCCCGGACCGCCGGCCTGCTTCTCAGCGCCACCGCCGACCACAACCTGTTGCTCTATGAGGCTCGCTCCCTGCAGCTGCAGAAACAGGTGCACACCTGCCCTTGCTCTGTCTGGAGGCTGCGTGCACCAGCCCTCCTCTTATCTCCTGCCCCCTGCTGCCCTGCAGTTCGCTGGTTACAGTGAGGAGGTCTTGGATGTCCGGTTTCTTGGCCCCAAGGACTCCCACGTCATCGTGGCCTCCAATAGCCCCTGCCTGAAAGTATTTGAGCTGCAGACGTCAGCCTGCCAGATCCTCCATGGCCACACAGGTGAGTGGGGCCAGCCCACCTGACACCCTGGGACCTGCCTGGGTCCCTTGCTTGCTTCCCTTCCCCCATCTTGCTGTGTGACCTATACCTCCCCACATCATCTCAGATATCGTCCTGGCCCTGGATGTGTTCCGGAAGGGATGGCTCTTTGCCAGCTGTGCCAAGGTGAGGCACCCTGAGAGGTAGGGGCAGAGGCACCAGGCGGGGAGGCCACTCAGTAGGCCCATGAACCAGCCTCTCTCCTCAACTCCCTGTCCCCAGGATCAGAGTGTCCGTATCTGGAGAATGAACAAGGCTGGCCAGGTGATCTGTGTGGCTCAGGGTTCTGGTCATACACACAGCGTGGGCACCGTCTGCTGCTCTAGGTAGTGAGTTGGGGCTGGGCCAGGGGTGTCAAGGAGGTAGAGGCCCAGGCCTGCCAGCAGGGGCTGCCACTCAGGGAGCTGGGGAGGCAGCAGCAGCTTTGGCTTGCTCTGAGGCTCCAGCCCAGAGATGTGGAACAGAACAGGACAGGAGAGTCCCTCCGTGCCTCGGAGGCAGTCCTCAGAAGTAGCCCCAGCGAAGTGGTTAAAGGGGAAGGGAACTAGGCAGAGAGAATGATTCTGCACGAGGCTCAGGTGGAGAGGTGACCCCTGCATGTAGGCCTGGGGTCCTGTGGCTGGGGCTGAGTCACCACGTGCTGCGGGTAGACACTGTAGACAGGGCGTGATCCTACAAGTGCCTGGGGGTGACCCAGGCCAACCCGCATCCTGGGACGGTCCCCGTGGTCTGGACCGTGGGCTCCCAGGCTGGCCCTGTGGGGAGCTGGCCATCAGGACTGGCCGTGGCTCAGCTCTGTCTCCTCCTCTCCTGTTGGGCCACAGGCTGAAGGAGTCCTTCCTGGTGACAGGCAGCCAGGACTGCACTGTGAAGCTGTGGCCTCTTCCCAAAGCCCTGCTGTCCAAGAACACAGCCCCAGACAACGGCCCCATCCTTCTGCAGGCCCAGACCACTCAGCGCTGCCATGATAAGGTGACTCCATAGCCACTGGGGTGGGGGGTGTGGCCAAGCCCTTGCTGGCGGGGGGCAGGGGGTGCTGAGCCACCACCTTCTCCCATTGCCAGGACATCAACAGCGTGGCTATTGCCCCCAACGACAAGCTGCTGGCCACAGGCTCACAGGACCGCACGGCCAAGCTCTGGGCCCTGCCGCAGTGCCAGCTGCTGGGTGTCTTCTCAGGTCACCGGCGTGGCCTCTGGTGCGTCCAGTTCTCTCCCATGGACCAGGTGCTGGCCACAGCCTCAGCTGATGGCACCATCAAGCTCTGGGCGCTCCAGGACTTCAGCTGTCTCAAGGTAAGCGGCGATCCAGGCCCTCCCCACCTCTTGCCCTGGTGACATCTCATGCCCTACCCGCCCCCTTTGCAGACATTCGAGGGGCACGATGCTTCTGTGCTGAAAGTGGCCTTTGTGAGCCGTGGCACGCAGCTGCTGTCCAGGTGAGTGGTCTGGGGCAGGGCAGCGATGGGGTGGGGGGTGGGGGGTGACTTGCCTGACGCTGAGCCTCTCCCCACCCCGTACCTAGTGGCTCAGATGGGCTCGTGAAGCTCTGGACCATCAAGAACAACGAGTGTGTGCGGACGCTGGATGCTCACGAGGACAAGGTCTGGGGGCTGCACTGCAGCCGGCTGGATGACCGCGCCCTCACTGGGGCCAGCGACTCCCGAGTCATCCTCTGGAAGGTTGTGGGCCCCAAGGGCAGGGAAGAGTTGGGGTGGAGTGGAGGCCCCATCTGACCCCAGTCTGACCCCAGGATGTGACCGAGGCGGAGCAGGCAGAGGAGCAGGCCAGGCAAGAGGAGCAGGTGGTCAGGTAAGGCCAGGGCAGTGGCGCCCCTCCCAGCATCAGCCCTGCTCTGTGCTGTAGGGAAACTGAGGCTGAGCACCAGGCTTGCTGCCTGCTGACTCCGATAGCTCTGCCAGCGGCCGTCAGTGGCCTCTCCTCCCCTCCCCGCAGGCAGCAAGAGCTAGACAACCTGCTGCATGAGAAGCGGTACCTGCGGGCACTGGGCCTGGCCATCTCCCTGGATCGGCCCCACACCGTGCTGACTGTCATCCAGGGTCAGTGCTCACCCGGGGGCAAGAGGCTGGGTCTACGGACCACTGGTCTCTGCTTTCCCCAGCTCAGCCTTCCCTCCTCCTACAGCCATCCGGAGAGACCCTGAGGCCTGCGAGAAGCTGGAAGCCACCATGCTCCGACTGCGGCGTGACCAGAAAGGTTGGGGGCCGGTCAGGGTGGGTGGCCCAGCGGGCAAGGGCCAGTCATGGCAGATTGGCTGGGCAAGAGGATGAGGGTCCCGTTGCCCACAGAGGCCCTGCTGCGCTTCTGCGTCACGTGGAACACCAATTCGCGGCACTGCCACGAAGCCCAGGCTGTGCTGGGTGTGCTCCTGCGGCGCGAGGCCCCCGAGGAGCTGCTGGCCTACGAAGGCGTGCGGGCAGCGCTTGAGGCTCTGCTGCCCTACACTGGTACGTGGGCACAGCCTGGGGTTGGGGGATCCTGGGGGGCCTGTGGACCACCCCCCTGACCTCCTTCTGTCCAACCCCAGAGCGGCACTTTCAGCGGCTCAGCAGGACACTCCAGGCCGCCGCTTTCTTGGACTTCCTGTGGCACAACATGAAGCTGCCTGTGCTGGCGGCCACCCCCACACCCTGGGAAACCCATAAAGAAGCGCTCCCCTAGCCGGTCCAGTCTCTCTCCAGTCCATCCTGAACCCCTGGAAAACCCATAAAGGCCGCTCTCCTAACCGGCCCTGTCTCTCTGGACTCCAGTCCAGCACCTACCCTGGCCAACACCCTACGTAGCCAGCCAGAAGGGCACTGGAGCTGATGGTCTCGGCCTTCCCAAGCCCATCCCGCACCCTGGCCTGGCAGAGATCCAGCCCGCGGCTCCGCACGCTTAGACGGTGGGGGTCATTCAGAACAAGCTTTACTCAGAGGAACAGCAAATACCCACCTCCCGTCCTGCTGGCCAGGGAGATCCGCCCTCCCCGCTCCTCCTCAGCCCTGGGATGGCGCGGTCCATCCCCGCATCGGGATCCTGGCGCTCACCGCTCCGTAGTAGGGTGCGGCACAGGCACAGGGTCCATGCACCCTCGGGACGGGCCCTGGCGCCCTGGGCGCCGCTCCAGGGCCCTGCGTGTGACGGTGCAGCAGCGGCTCTGGATGGCGCCCGGCGAAGGTCGGGTGGGCACGGTGGGGGGAGGGGCGGTGGCCTGGGAGGGTTCGGGGAAGCCCCGGGCCTCACCGGCCGGGTCGTCTCCTCCACGGAACCCCGTCCCGCTCAGGAGTGCGCCCAGCCCTTCTGGCCGTAACAGCACCGCGGGGAGGAGGCCCTCCCGGTCGCCGTACCTGCGAGGGGCGGGGTGTAGTTAGGGCCCCGCCCGCCTCGGCTAGCCTCCCCCGCCCACGCCCGCTCGCGTACCTGCACAACCACCAGCCGCGGTCTGACTTTTCCAACACGCGCACGCGCGCCCCCGCGGGCACGCACAGCTCATCTGCGCGGTTGCTCTCGTAGGCGCGGGAAGCACAGAACTGGGGACCTGGGAGTGGGTGCTTGGAGTCACCGCGGGGCAGCATAGGCCAAGGCCCACCCGCACCCTTCAAATTCTCCTTGCTTGAGTCTGCTGACCGCGGGGCCGCTCTAAAACCGGTTCGGGGCTTCCTCTAGGTGCGGAGACCAAGCACGGATTCCTGGGCCGCCCTGCTCGCGATGCTTCCGACCCAGTCTTGCCACACGGTCAAGCCGTAGTGGTGGCATGAGGGGTAGGGTTAGGCGCATACCGCTGCTGCCTAGGGACGGGCCTCTCTCCCGGCTCTGGTCCGGGGCCGTCGCCTCCAGGTAGGGCGCTGGAAACCAGGCCATCTGCTGGTCTTCGTTCTCCACCAGCCACCAGCCTGTGCGCAAGAAGCGGGCGGGGACTCAGATCTCGAGGCTCCCTCGGGTCCAGGGGCAGAGGGACAAATCCCTGGGTTATTGGCGGGCCCTACCTGAGGGGTGCCGCAGCAGCACGTCCAGGCTTTCCTGGGCCCGCGCCTGAAAAGGCCGATTCCGCGTATCCTGGGTATAGAAGGGATGCAGGCAGCGCAGGCTCAGAGTCTCCAGACTGTGGATGGAGAGGCGGCCCGCAGCGCACGAGACAGGCGGCTCCTCTGGGGCGGGCAGGATCACTCGGCTGGGAAGGGCAGCCCACACGAGTGAGAGGTAGGCGGATGGGGAGGGTGAAACCGGAGGCGCCACCCGGCAAGACCGCCAGCCTCCCAGTCTCTGCCCCTATTCGTTGGCTGTTCCCCCCACCCTACACCTCTCCCACCTCCAAACGCCGCTGCAGGCTGGGAGTTTGGGGCGAGTCAGGCACCTGCCGGGTGGCAGCGAGGGCTCCAGGTCCAGGGGTTGCGGTGCGAAGAAGCCAGTGATCGCCGGGCTCCGTGCCACACGCTCTGCAGTCGCCAGCAGCCTCCGAGAATAGGTTTCCAGCAGCTGCAGGCGCGCCAGGCCGCGGCTCGTGCGCCCCCCGTGTGCCAACAGTGGTGCATCTTAAGGCACCACAAAAACGTGCTGTGATACCCCGCTTTGGGCTTCACTGGTCCCTGGCGCCCCAGGCAAACCACCGCCTTCCCCGCCCCCATACCCAGGCTGGCCTGACCGAGCAGCTTTGGGAGAACGCGGTCAGATCTCCGCAGCAGGCCTGCCTCCACCGGGAAGGTCTCCTTTAGGGTCTTCTGAGGGCAGGAACGGGGGCACTGGTCTTCCAGAGCCCACTGTGCACCCTTGGGAGGGCGGGGTCCCTCACCCAGATGGCAGGGGCTGGGAGCTTCAGCGGGGACGAAGGGCCTCCAGTGGGAGTCACTGATGGGAGGCAGCCGGGTGGGGAAGCCGCCACCGTGGCATCAGGGTGGCCCAGGGTCACTCACCTTGAGCCTCCTGAATTCGTCCCAACTCCTGCGCACGAAGGTGTCGCTGCCGTCTGACCAGTGCACACAGAAGGCAAAGGTCTGGGGGACAAAAAGTTGGGAGTGCCTTGGAGGTGTTGGTCCAGGCACCCCCTTCCTATGCCTTGGGGCCACTCGGGACCCAGCCAGGTCTTACTTGGAGCCTCTTGATCTGCACCAGGGCTGCTCCTTGCACTGAAACTGGGTATCGGGGGCCTGCCATGGCTGTGGCCTCCAGGCTGCAGACTCCTGAAATGGGTGAGGACCCTTCTGCCTCCCTGTGCTTGAGAGGGCTCTGGGGGACCCAGAAGACCGTCTGGGATAGAATCTGGCAACGCCTCAAGCCTGTGGGGTCCTTGTGGAGCCGCCCCAGCCTAGTCCTTTGCAGCTTTCTTGCTGTCTCCCAAGCCCACAATCTGGGGGCAGGAGCACAGGGACTGGGGGACTTCCAGGCAGAGCTGCTAGGAGGAAGAGGAATGAGCTTCCCAGCCCTGGAGGCGTGCAAGACTGAGGAAGGGGCGGAGGGTAGGCGGAACTGCTTCCTGGGGCCCTCCTGCCTGCCTCTGGCCACTGGAGGAGGGAGAAGGCAGGGCTAATCAAAGTGCTGCCTGTCCTGCCCACCTCTCTGGATTCCCCTGCTCTGTGAGGTAATTGCCCTGCTAGGGTGCGCCCAACAGCTCTGTCTTTGAACTAGCCTGGGGATTTCTGTGCAGAACCAAGACCTCAGTGCTGAAAGCTTTAAGTGTTTTGTCTGACTTAATCCTAATGCTGGAGGAAAGGTCTCTTACTGTCCCCAACTAATAGGCGAGGAAATGTGTGTGAAATGTGTGATTATTGTGAGCTTTTGTGTACATGCTGGGGGAGGGGCAGACCTCACATGCTCACCCCAGGGGTTCCCCTGCAGTGAGGAGACTTGGGGTAGGAGAAAGAGGGCCCCTCTGTGCAGTCACTGGCACTTGTTGGGTGGGGGTGGAGATCAGGGAAGTGGTCACTAGGGCTGTTTTGAGAACCACCTCTCAATTCGTGATTTGCCATGACTTACTGCAAACATGGCCTGGGCAGAGGCTCGCTCAGGTGCCCCACCTCTCTGGCTGTTTCCTTATAGTTCAGGCTTCGGAAGCCACATTCAACCCTGGCACACAGTGGTTCTTCCTGGTGCTGGGGTCACCAATTCTGTGTTGGGATGCCCCTACTCCAGCCCCTCCAGGGAGTGGTCAGCCTCTGGGGCATCCCTCCAGGAAGCTGCCCTGGCTGCAACAAAGGGCCTTTGTGTGTCTGTCCCACCAGCACTGGCTGAGGCCCTCAAGCTGTCCCTGGTCTTGGCATGGGCAATGAACACCTGCTCACATAGGGCTGATTTGCAGGGTGCCCCCAGCCAGCTGTCACCTTCTCCCTGATCTCAGCTGAAGGCCTAGCTGACCTGGTGGGGTCCAGCGTGTGAACCCAGGGGAGACCTTGCTCCCCTGGAAGACAGGAGAGAAGTTGGGGAGGATTTATTCAAAAGCAGAAGCCTAGAGGGATTCTGAGGCTGCCTCCCTGCCCCTGACCCACACCCCATCAGCCCTGCATGGTTTCCACTTTTTCCTCCCCTACCCTTTTTTCTTACCTGAATAGTACAGCCACCCCACCCTCCATCCGTATGCTCCTCACTTGCCCCTACAAAATCCACTTCAAGGACAGACACAGTGCCTCTCACCTGTAATCCAAGCACTTTGGGAGGCCAAGGCATGGGGACTGCTTGAGCTCAGGAGTTCGAGACCAGTCTGGGCAACATGTTGAGACCTCTGTCTGTGCCCCTGCAAAATACAAATATTAGCTGGGCATGGTGGTGTGTGCCTGTAGTCCCAGCTACTTGGGAGGCTGAGGTGGGAGATAACTTGAGCCTAAGCAGTCGCAGCTACAGTGAACAAGATCATGCCACTGCACTCCACCCTGGGTAATGGAATAAGACTCTGTCTCAAAAAAAGAAAAAAGAAAGAAATCCACTCCCCATATGATAGCCAGAGGAATCTGCAGCTAACTGAAATGGGATCAGATTGGGTAGCCTTGCCCAAAACTGTCTAGCATCTTCCCCCCTACCCTCATAATAAATTCCCAATTCCCGCAGCAGCTGACCAAGTCTTGGTGGGCCCCTGCCCGTCCCTGGATCTCCCCTCCCACCTTACAACCCTCCCTAGCGTCCCACTGGCCTTTTTGTTCCTGCAAAATGCCAAGACCCTGCCACCTTGGGCTTGGTCTCGAAGGCGGTCCTCAGCTGATTCCTCATCCTTCAGATAGGGTCACCTCCTCAAGGAGGCCTTCCAGATTTACCACATCCTTGCATGGACCCACCAGTTTGTACGTGAACATTTATGAGTGTGAGTCCTTGATTTTTTTTCCTGTCTTGACCACTGAATTATGACCAGAGGAGGTCAGGGAACAGAGCTGTGTTCCCTGCTCTGCCCAGCACCTGGAACAGCGCTTGGAACAGAGCAGTCACTGCACAAATAATAGCGGAATGGATAAATGAACACAAGGAGGCAGAGGAATCCCAGAGGCCGCTCCAGCCGGGAGCCCGACCCCTCATCCCAGGTTCTAGGGTCCGCGGCAGCCGGCGGGGGGCGCCGGGGAGCCCAAGGCACGCGCCAGCCCTCCGCGGCCGCGCCCCGCCCTGCGTTGCCAGGCGCCCGTTGCCATGGCGAACCCTAGCGCGCGCAGCAATCTGTTCGGTCACGCCCGCCCCGCGTTGAGAAGGCGCTGGGCAGCCAGCGGGTGGGACGCGCCCCTCAGCGGAGGGCACAGAGCCTGGCCGCAGGCACGCAGGACACTCAGAGCGGAGCGATGGGGGCGTCGCGGGCCGCAACACGGACTTTGCCTGAGTGTCAGCCCGGGTCCACAGCGCTCCCGCGGCGCACCTTCCGCTGCGCACCTTCCGCCACACACTGCTCTTCTACTGGAGGAAGCGAGAGCGCCGCCACGGACGGCGCAACCACGGCGTGCGCAGGGGATCGAGGCCCGGGGGTGCCAGCAAGC